ATTTAAATAAACTATATTGATTCTTTTATGTTTAATTTATTTAGTTATATATGGAGTACTTTGCTGTTGGTTTTAGGGTGCAGCAGAGGAGTTAAGCTACGCAGCAGTACATTTCCATGGAAGAAACTCAAACAGACACGAGACTGAAAGAAGCTCAGACACACATGTTGTATATTCCACTGCCAGAGGTTATAGTATCAAATAACAATTCTGTGATATTGTCTGCGATAAGTAATATTGTCCTATATGTGTTTATTAGTTATATTTGATGTATCCGAGTGCTGTTATTATGAGTGCTAATAAAAAGAATGCCAAAAACGTTGGTCTTTTTTATTTATAGTGATTCTATTAATATCCACAGCAAGCCTACCAGTTACTAACACTGGATGATTCCTCAAGAAACATAAGGTTTTAAATCCATTGGTGGAAAAAAACTTTTATAAAAAGGACTTTTAATTTGCTGATAGCCTTATTCTTATATTATTCAACTGCTGATCAGTGAACCAATGAAATATTGCAATATACACAAAAATATAATATTTTTTTATCCAAATTGAACCTAAAAATATTCATGTAAAAAAAATAAAAATAAACACATATATACATAAGTCAAATTTTAAAGGTTTAAGCTATCCTTAGTCAAATTACAGTTTAATTAATAAGACTATAACACATAAGCCTATCTGAACCAGAATTTCACTGGACTGTACAGTTTGTCTATTTAACTCCCCCTGCTGTTGAGAATCGAAACTGCAAAGGTGAAGCAGTTTGTCTCAAAATGCAGTTCAAGAACATATATTTTGGTTAAATTTGAAATTGTGCCACAAGAAGGTTTGATGACGCACTAATGTGATACTGAAAGCTGATTGGCTTGAATGAGTAACCCTGACATTGATTGGTTGTAGCCTATATACCGACACGACAAATTTCATTTAAATACCTGCATGAAAAAAAATTATTATTTTCATAAAATACCCGCATATGCCTGTTTAGCTTTATTTCCTTTTGAACTACATTTTTGAGGAAGCTTAACCTGACTCTGAGGTTATAGATTTTGTAGTAAGACCAATAAGCTAAAATGATCAATTCCACAGTAACCTGAATTAATGCATGCAAAATAGATGTAGCTTTACTTTTTATATTTTTGAACCTTTTGTTCTTGTTGAACCTTTTGTTGTGCCTTGTTTTGGGACTTTGTATATGCTACAAATAACTAATAAAACATAGGCTAAGTATCTTGGCTAAACATTTTACCTTTTGGAAAAATAATGACCTTAATACAGGTACAGTACAACAAAGCTTTCTTTACCAAAACCAACCAAATAAAGGAAACTTTAGACCACATGACAGGAAGATGTGGCAAAAGCTGTCAAGTTGCATGCAATGTGCACAAAGCCTCACCCCGACATTCAATCTATAACCCTTACAAGATCGATCTTCTATCTTGCAAAGAAAGGCCTGTTGCATGTGGAGTCTTCTACAGATCAGTTAAGATGACCAAATTATCATACATCACTTGCATTATACTTAACCTGTGTGAGTATGTATTTAAGATTTTTCTTTAATCCTTTGGCAAATTAAGTACTTTCTGACACAAACAATTCATAAAAACACTCGGCAGTGTTACTCAATATGTACTGTACACAGTCTGATTTTGCAGGTGGTTATAATTTAATTTTCAGTTTTTAATGTTTAGGTAGGCTGTTGGGCATTTTTTTGCATGTCAGCAGTGAGAGTTCGACCTGGACACTCCACAGCAGTGCTTCACACCATACGATGGGCACTTTAAAGTGTTCTGGCTAAAATTTCAAAACAATTCTGCTCCAGTCCTTGTGGCTTTGGCTGAATACAAAACTGGCATAATGATTGGAGAGAAATTTCAGGATCTTTCAAAGTTTAGATTAACATGAAACCAGCTCAGCAAACATCGAGCAAACAGACATCGCTGTGTACTACTGTGTGATGATTATTTATTGTTATTTTTTTTATTTTTGCAAATGGAACAAGACTGATGTTTGAAGAGATTTTCAGATTGACTATCCATTGGTCCAATGACAGAATCCAACGGCATGGGAGAAGGTATTCTGCTGCCCTACACGCAGAATTTCTGCGTGTAACGTTAGGTCTGCACTTCTTTAAAGTTGCTCCAATTCAACAGTGGGCAAACGACATATGTAGGTACAGATCAGTAATATTTGTCTTGCAATAGCAAAATTCAAATGATTCATTATAAGATTATTTTTTAAAAAAAGCATATCAAGGAACACAATATTAAAGGGGACATAACACACACAGTTTCGGCCAATCTCATGTTAATCTTGAGTAGCTATATAGTAGTATTACATTCTTCATATCTCCGAAGAGTCTTTAGTTTTGTCAGATTTATAAAAGAAAAATACAACTTTATGCTTCACTCCGAAAACAGCCGAGCTCCTGGAGGCGTGCCAAAGAGGAGATAAAGAGTCGCGAGCGCTTATCAACAAAACAAAGACATTTGATGCAGTTTTACTCATCGCCTCATGACCGGGATATTTAATCGCTGGGACCGCTCCATCTTTCAGTATCAAACAATGTGCAAATCCAGTGTCGAACTGGGCCTTGTTTATAAAACATTCGTCACCGAAATGACGAGAACAAACAAACACACGTGCTAAACTCCGTTGTCCCGGAGAAACAAACTGCATCCACTGTTCATGTAACGCTGGGTTCTTTGGGAAGCTGAACAAGGTTATCTTTTCCTCACAACCAAAAATACACTGCTTTGGAGACATTCCCAAATGGCAATGGCCGCCGCGTGCACGTGTCCGTTAAGTCCACGAGACCGTAGGGCAGGGTTCCTCAAATCTTGCCCTGGAGGGCCAATGCGCTGCAGAGTTTAGCCCTGATCAAACTCACATACCTGTGATTTTCTAATGATCATTCATTAGCATGCTCAGGTATGTTTGATTAGGGTTAGAGCTAAACTCTGCAGGAAAATGGATCCCGTGGGCCAGATTTGATGATTCCTGCCGTAGAGTGTCCCATTCATAATTTTAGCTTTCAGAAGGGTGCTCACGAGCGCCCTCAATGCGCACTTCTGCTGAGCCTGCACTTGGGCGAGCTCCGCAACAGACTTCTACCCGACAGTCAAAGCGGCATTACGTCACGAAAGTGTGGACTCAGAGGAAGACCGCGAGGGTTTAGGGTGCGACTGTGCAGCTGCCGAAAGAAGCACGTTGATGGGAGTGCTCTTGCTCGCACTCTGTTTGCTGTGTGCGTGCGCTCTTCCAGGAGAAGGGCCCATACAAGGAATTCCGCCCTTCATGACATCACGAAGGGCCATGCTCGAAAAAACTTTCCAAAACTAAGGAGTGTATTTGGCACAGAAATACTCCGTCATACGTCCAAATCATTATTTTGTAACTTTGGCCATGTTTAGCATGAGAATCCAACTCTTTAACAGTGTAAATAACTTTTTCAAAAGCATGAAAGGGCTTTAGACCACCCCTTTTTAACCATCAGCTAAACATCCACACACATCTTTTAGCTATCAACAGTGTGTCTGAAATGGTAAATGTTGGTCCTTTAGTGGTGCAAAGCATCTGCACATGTTTTAGAAGCATTATGCATTAGCATTTGTGATTTCAAGACTTCATGTCATCACCCCCTAATCTAAGCCCACCCACCATCCAGCCAAGTGTTTTTGTAGACAAAAGAAGGGTGCTGGCTATGATTTTGAAAACCACTAGAGGGCTGTAGTGAGGGATGGTAATTACTCAAATTTGCTAATTATATATTTTAACTTTAAACTGCTTATGAGAAGGATTTAATACAGTGTAAAATAATAAACATGTACTTCATACATTGCCACAGCCATATCACTCTGCAGCCCAAGACTGGTTGCCCACTGAAGCTAAGCAGGGTTGAGCCTGGTCAGTACCTGGATGGGAGACCTCCTGGGAAAACTAGGTTGCTGTTGGAAGAGGTGTTAGTGAGGCCAGCAGGGGGTGCTCACCCTGTGGTCTGCGTGGGTCCTAACGCCCCAGTATAGTGATGTGGACACTATACTGTCAAAAAGCACCGTCTTTCGGATGAGACGTTAAACCGAGGTCCTGACTCTCTGTGGTCATTAAAAATCCCATGGCACTTCTCGTAAAGAGTAGGGGTGTAACCCCGGTGTCCTGGCCAAATTGCCCCCCTGGCCTTTGTCAATCATGGCCCCCTAATAATGCCCAACCACTTGATTGGCTCTATGACTCTCTCTCCTCTCCACCTGTAGCTGGTGTGTGGTGAGCGCACTGGCGCCTTTGTCCTGTGGCTGCCGTCGCATCATCCAAGTGGATGCTGCACACTGGTGGTGGTTCAGGAGAGACCCCCCCACATGATTGTAAAGCGCTTTGGGTGTACAACAATACACAATAAAGCGCTATATAAATGCACCATTAATTAATTAATTCATTCATTCATTCATACTTAATTTGACTTGCAAAGTGCATTAGCAAGCCTACTGAACAGGTTTTGGATAGGTCCAATGCCCATCACTAAGTGTAACATCATATCTAGTCCAGCAGATGTGCAACCTGTTTTAGAAAATACGCAGTAGGTTTATCTAAACAAATATGTAAAAAATCTCATTTAGATGCAATAAAAAAAAAAAAAAAAGGATTACAATAATGGGCTTAAATTACATATTGCCAAGCATGTATTGTAGATATCCACTGATATGTCTAAATAAATATACCAGAAAAAACTCCTCGTCCCCTTCCAAATGTACAACAACAGCCTACTACACATCACATTTAATAAGTACCTCAATTTCACTTGCCCATTTATAAACACTGTACATGAGTACACACACACAAATAATGCAGGTATATCACATGCGGGTCTGACCAACCTGACTGGCCTTTTCATTGATAGGTCTACCATAGTTTAGCTGTGCCAAAAGCCACTCCTCCTTATGCATGAAACACATTGATATCGCCCACTTAATTTCCTCTTCAGCTCTGTTTTGACTCGGTGCAGAAATGTTACATATTTCAGCTGCAGCTTTATTGTTCTTTGGGACGGGTAAGAATTATTTTCCACTGTGAACTACAATACTATGATAAGAAACACTTTATAAATTTCAAATCAAGTGTTACTGAAAGAGCTAGACACTTATTTTAATTTAACGATATTGTTTTTTAGTGTGCTATTGTTTTAGTTTTCTTGTTTAATGATTTTCAGGTTTTCTCCAAGTTATGTTTTCTACAGCAAACATTCAGACTCATCCAGGACAAAGTGTCACTATGTGGTGTCCACACAATATCCATGTTACTGGAAATCTGTACTGGTTCAAACAATCAGACAGTGCTGTACCCATTACTATTGTGCACATGTTATACACCGAACGTCTTCAGAAGGTTGAGCCAAATTATTTCAACAGTTTCACAAATGATTGCATCGTCATGGATCAGTTCAGCAAAAGCACCACCCTAACAATTAAGCAAGTGAAAATTTCTGATTCTGGCTTCTACTTTTGTGGAGCTACAGGTTATCACATGAAGTTTGGCACTGGAACCAGGCTTGAAGTAAAAGGTAATCTTTTTTAACCTCTCTCACTATACTCAAATTTTTATATACTGTGTATATCTCTTTTTTTCTCACTTTGTCATTAACAGCACATGTTGAAAAACACCACAATTTAAATACTATTGTAAATGCCACAATGGTAAATGACTTGCCAACTGTTTTCATATCAGAGAAAAATTTCACAGGAACCTCAAAAAAGGGTATGTTATTTTACTTTCAATATTAAAGTTAAAACTAAAGGTGTTTAATATATGAATGTTCGTGTTAAATCTCTCTAATCAAATTATGGGGAAAAATAATTATATAATGCTTTCTTTGTGGTATCACTTAAAAGGTTTCATTATAATTATATCCACTCTTTTAAAGATCATGAGCAATGACCCGTGTCTACTGAGGAGTGTTCTAGAGACATTTATTTCAAACTGACCCTCCTATTTGGTGGAATAATTTTTTTTACATGCATCGTTCCTCTTATTTTGGCGATTATCAGGGAACACAGAAGACAGAAGCATAAAAAAGGTAAACTCTTTTCACATGGTTAAAAAGATCAAGTTAAATCACAAATGTGGAATGAACATAAAAAATGGCTTTAGACATAATTTTTTAATCTCTCATTATCTTAAGAGCTACTGATTGTCTTTTTCTCTGCTTTGTGCCAGTCGCTGAATGTCAGAACAGCATGATGACAAGGTAAATTACAGACTTATTTTACTCCAAGGGCTAAGAAAAACTATTTAAAAACAATCCCAGTTTCACCATAGACATGAAAACAAGCAAAGCTTTGTTTTATACCAGATCACACTTTCTGTTGTTTTTTTTTTATTATAAATAACAAAATATTAAATTTTTTTATAAATTAATTACTGCTCTGCCTCTTCTATGAGTCATTAATTACTGCTATATGAAGGTTTTTGTATAGTTTTTGTGTGTTTGGTGTGTGTGTGTGTGTGTGTGTGTGTGTCCTCATAAACCATAAAAACCAACATGTGTGTGTGTGTGTGTGTGTGTGTGTGTGTGTGTGGTATCAACTATTATCTTATGATTCTGATTGAACAATAATAATTTTAATTCTATTGGCTGTTAAGTATGTGAATAGTTGCATTATCTACTTTTTGCTGTAGAATTTATTTTTGGAGGCTAAGGAAAAGGAAAACAGTATCAAAGGCTCCGGAATAAAAATAAAAGTTGTTATATGACCACATGGATTAGAATCTTGACATATACGTGTTTGTACTTCTTTGCAGAAAAATGATTCAGTAGAATATGCTGCTGTGTATTTCTCAAACCAAAGACCCAAAACAGGAGGACGACATACTGAGGACCCAACTGCTGTATACACTGATACTATAGTATACTATAGTATAGTATAGTATAGTATAGTATAGTACTATAGTAAAAATAAACCAAAGGTAATAAATTAATAATATGTTAGAGTTTTATTTTTCAAGTATACAAGCACGGTTGAAATAATTTTGAGAATGCAACTATTGAGCAGAATATCACTCTGTGTTAGGGAAATTTAATATTTCAATATTTAATTAAAAAAATATTTGAAATAGGAAATTTTATAATCAAAGAGTGAAAAATTTAAGGGGGTCTGAATACTTTCCGTACCCACTGTATGTTGTGTATTCTGCTACTAGATAGTCCAACAATGGCACAAGGTCAAATATTGTAGCCTACTGTAGGGTAATAAGCCATATTTTCATAAAGACTCTAATATTGATACACCATTACTAATGCCATAGATTTAAAGTGTATGTGAGCTCTGCAATGTTCAGTATTTTTGATGCAATAAAAGTTGTGAAGATCAAATGCATTTGAAAGTTCTAAGAAGTTTAATTTAGATCTGTTTATGTTCTCTGTCATTAAGATATAAGCAGGCCCTTTCTCAAGAGGCAGGGGTTGTGAATGATATCATTTCCTATACAGACCCTGACAGGAAGAAGCTGTTCCGTGTAGAAAGAGACATGCTGATGGGAACTTCAGCGGACCAGATTACAAAGCTGTAAATATACACACTGAAACACAGCTGTACAAATTATTAAAATTATTATTAACTATGCACACATTTGACAACAATTTAGTACTGAGCAGCAGCAGTATAGCCTGATCATTATGAATATTGATATTACTCATGACAATTTAAAGAAAATGTTAATAAAACAATGTTTAAATCTGATTAAATGTGTGTAAACTATGTTTTTAAAAAATCACATAAAGGCTTTCTTAAATGTCTGTGTGCCAGTGTGTGCACCTGTTAGCACATGAGAGCATCACAGTTTGACTGTTTTCCACCTGAGAGCATCACAGTTTGGCTGTTTTCCTCCCACCAGACTGACCCCCAGCTCATCACTCACAGCCCTCACTGCAGCTCAACCACACAAACACATCACACTACATGCCTTTCACACTACTTTCCATAACCACAGACACAATGCCCCTTGTTTTTAAGTGAAGTGACAAGTCACAGATAACAATAACTTGAATTAAAAAAATAGAGTTGAGAATATTATTATGAGACAGCAATGAAAATAAACTTTACATTTAAAATTTAAACTGAACATTTTTAATGCTTATATATATATAAACCGGGCGAACGAGACGAGAGACGTGCAGATCCATTTGCAAGCTTTATTAGACAGAGACGTGGTCAATAACACAGGCAGGGTCGAAACACCAGCAAACAGGTATGGCACGGGCAAGACACAGGAGTATTCCAAGGACAGACGTGATCAGACTCCGGCGAACAATATCCAACAGGGCAAGGCAAAGAGAGATAATCCAGGTACGCAGCAATAGTCCAGGCAGGGGCAAACAGAGTCCGAACGGTAAAACAATAGATAATCCAAGGAAACAGGTAATAACAAGACTAGACTAGACTATAAAAACACGAAATGGCTCCATAAAGCAGCTATCACTAGGAGAGTGATAAACACAGAACTATACTCTGCGGTTAGAGAAGGATTTGGGTGGTTGTTATATAGTGTGTGTGTGATTGGCTGCAGGTGAGTCCAATCAGTGCAATGGAGCATGGGAAATGTAGTCCAGGGTGATGTGCAACAGTTTGTGTGGTGTGAGAGTCAATGTAATCAGAAGGCGACCTCTGGTGGCGAGCAGACGGAAGACCACAGACCGGATTCGTGACATATATATTTGTAAATATGTTGCTGTTGTAGGGCTTTTAAATACTGCAATGATTGCATGCAATGTTACAGACAGGTTCTGATTGCAAACTAAACCTGAATTTGGTGTAGGGTCAAGAGGTCAGATTAAAACAGAAGACAGATGTCCTTCAAACGTTGTATTATCATTGTGTATTAATAACCTGCCATGCTGAGTGAAACCTCCTGCTGATGGCACTAATAATAATAAAAAAGAAGTCAAATTAAAACTGCACTAAATTCAAGACCACAGTATTTCAGTATTTTGATTTGTTGGCTTTCATAACATGTTATTGTTCTGTGCAGCAGCTGCATTCTCATAAATGGCTGTCTTTTTGTTTCAAAACAACAACAACTAAAAAAAATGCAACTTTCAAAAGTAGCATTTCCCAGGCCAGACTCATTAATAAAATCAAAATCTTTACTCGTATTTAATAGGATCTGTCACTTAACTGCAGTTCAAAACATGTTACAGGCTCCTGGCCAGCATAAACACTGTAGAAATACTGAAAAAGTTCTGCTAATTTTCTGCTAGGACATTATCCGTTTAATTTACAGAAAATTTATTTAACCCTAAAACACAACACAATGCAACATATAATTCAAAGCATGGGTAAAACAGCTGTGAAAAAAAATCAATACTGAAAATTCTATTATATTAATACAGTACATTGGGCCCTATTTTTACACACTTTTCTTCACCTGAGGAAGAGAAACAATATTTCTCTTAATGCATAAAGAATTGTCTACCACTGTACTCCAATGCAACTTGACACCTTTGCTTCTATGCAAGCGCCATTATTTAATAGTCATTCGGTGATCTAATATAGTAATATGTCTTATCTTTAGGATGGTGTTTTGAAGTCTCTCTGTCAATGCAATTTTGTCACAATGCACTGTTAAAGTGTGCAACTGCATGAATACCACGTTAGTTCCTTTCACACATTAACTAATGGTTTCAGAAACAGACTTATGCCACTAAATACAGAGAAGATGATGAATTTGATGCACAGCGCTC